CTGGGAATCAGTCATATTATATATACTACTTTCTTATTTTCTTATTCAAAAAAAAAAAAAAAACACTAAAAAAAACATAATAAATGTATTCCTCATATTAAAAAAAAAAAATTCGATGAATTTTCTAAGTGAACTAGAGGTACAAATAGGTCGAGTCGAGCTTGAGTTAGCAAAATCACGAACTCGAACTCAAATCGAGCTAAAAAAAGAGCTCGAACTCGAATCGAGCTCAAAAGAGAGCTAGAGCTCGGCATGCACGCTAGTGAAATGAGCTTGCGAGCAGCTCGTGAGCTTAGCGGTCTGGCATTCGCGTGTGTGCTTCGCTATTTTGCTTATGTAGTTCGCCTTCTGCGCACTTGCTTCGCCTTTCGTGCTTCGCTAGTTCATCCACTATTAGCCTTCCATGGTTCACCTTGTGTAGTCCGCCAATTCACACACATTTAATCAGCTAATCGACAAGAATCGAGTTGAGAATCATCTAGATCGACCTCAAGCTCAATAATCCAACGAGCTCAAAACTTGATAAATCTTGACTCGCCTACTTGATAATGAGTCGAGTTTGAGCCGGCCAGCAAGTCGGCTTGACCTGTTTGCACCCCTAATGTCAACTGTGCTTCGGTGTTCATATGAGGATACTCTGCTGGCCAATATTATAAATTTTTTTACTTCACTTTCATAATTTTTTTTTTATAATTTTGATATTCACCTCAATTTTTCCTTTTTATATTTTTGAGATATTATATTTACTTCAAATAAAGGAAATTTAAATACTAATATGATTATAAGGAGAGATAAAGTTAAAGCAAGTTGAGATCTGGTAAATAAAAATAATAATAAGTTGAATAAGTATTTTCTCAAAAAAAAAAAAAAATCAGGGCTTCTCAGGAAAAAGCTTGTTATAAGCACTTACTCGGTGTACTTAGCATTGAAAATCATGTGATGTAATTGATAAGTGAGTACATTTTGTGTGTGATAGTACTCTCTTGAAGAGACCTGACTGAATAAAAAGGGTTTGTGATTATAATATTTGATAGCATTCAATGCTGTTGGTGTTCTCTGTTTTATTTTTATCGTTGTTGGTTGCTGGGTAATGATGTGGTTGGGGCTCGCTATTCCTACAGCTAGGCTCGTGGCAACCTTGGTTTGGATCTCAATGGGATGGCTTCGCTTTGTGGTTCGCCAATTGGACGGTCCGAGCTTGTCTTATAGAAAGCTGGTAGTCTCGGCATTCTACTGAGCCCTCGAAGTTGTTTATTTCCTCTTGTTTTTTTCATTTGCTTTTTGGATCTTGTAATCGCTCTTTTTCATGAAGTGAAATGTTCTTTCTCGTAAAATAATAATAATAATAATAATAATATTTGATAGCATTAGATAGGATGAATCAAAGAGAAAGGAAAGTTGATAGGAATCATTATTATGGTAATTCTGGTTTTTTTTTTAGGGGAAAATGATGGTTATTCTTGTTAGTAATATCTCCTTTTATTGGAGCTCTGAATGATAGAAACTAGTTTCTATTAAGATGAGATGAATCCCTTCATCATGATGAGTATGGGAGAATGCGAATAAACTACACATGATTACTCCATAAGGAAGCTAAAAAGGTGAGTGACAATCAAACTACTAAATATAAGTATTTAGGGCATTTCCAATCGAAAAAATCCATTTTACACTCTAAAATACAGTAAAACTTCAAAATGACGTAATTAATCTCCAATAGAACTTCATTTCTCTCATCTTTCGTGCATTTTTCTCATTTTTCCTGCTCTTCTTAGCTCAATTCGCAAGCGAGAGTTTTTTTTTTTTTTGCGTAGGTGAATAGTCCGATGCAAATATTGGCGTCACACTGTTCACCCACCGAATTTTTGTATGAGATTTGGAGTTCAAATACAGCGAATGACAAACGACATACGGTGGTGTGCAATTCGGTTGGAGATGACCTTAAGTGAGTCAACTTTGTGACATGCATACACTATAGAAAGTCCGGAATAAATACACTATTTAAGAAGCATTGGAGTACAAGTATTTTGGAGTTAGGTGATTGTAATAGAATCTAAGGTAAACTTGTTAATATCGTTGGCATTTAAGCTTCATTTGGGGCTGCTTTCTTAATGCTTTCTAAAACGGTCTAGGACAAAATTTTCTAGATCAAAAAATTTTTATATTATAAAGCTAGTTTCGAAAGCCGTATAAAAGAAGTCCCAAATGAAGCTGTAATTGTAAGTCTAAGACTTCGTTTGTGACAGCTTTTTTACTGCTTTAAAAAATAAAAATAAAAATTATCCCAAACGAAAGGTAAGATTAGTGTTCAAACTTCAATCCTTATCCGAGAAGACCCCTATAAGTTGAGCTAAATTTCTATTAAATAATTAAGTTATATATATAAGTGATAGGAAGTACTAAAAAACATAGTTGCAAGAATCGAATTCATCTGTCATTGAGTAATATCATCTTTAAATTCATTTAAGTTGCTGAGTAATATATTCCAAAATATTTTCTATGTTGTTAAGGCCATTAATGTGAACATTTCATATTCATATGAGAGGACTTATAATATTAGATTTTTTTCCTTAGGTTTGTTGAACCCACAAAAAAAAATAAAAATTTGATACTTCTATGCATTTATGACTTGAATGTTAATATAGATATGCATGGTGAAGACGACTATTATGCTTATAATAGATTTTTGGGAGTATAGTATTTATTATTGAAAAAAATATAATTACATAAATTAAACAAATATAAAATATATACTATTCAAAAGACTGCACAAATTAAATAAATATAAATTATATACAATTCAATTAAAATATTAATAAATTTTATTTTTATACACAAGAAATTAAAAAAAATAAACATTATAAAGAAGCAATCAAAATGAATTAATTATGTGGCTCGTGAAATGAATTAATTATTAAAGATATATTTTAGCTGCTTTTTTATGTATTTATACATTATTTTTTATCAGACAAATTGATGAAACGAGTTTAATACGTTGTCAACTTGTGTATGCATTATATGGGAGTATTATAGAGGGTGTTCAATTTGGGATCACGGGTCGGATTCGGTTGAACCCGAACTGACCACGCTCAACGGGTTGACCCTAATCCGACTGGGTTAATAAACGGGTCGAAAATCTCAACCCGGAATCGACCCGAGGGGTTCCGGATTGACCGAGCCTGACACGGAACCCGAAATGTGGGTGAGCGGGTGTGCGGGGAGCGACGAGCGTGGTGCGCGGGGCGCAGAGTGGCAGGCGATGCAGCGTGAGCAAACCGTGGCAGCGCGGGCAAATATTCAATTAAACGGGTTTGCGGGTTGACCACCCGAACCCGACCTGTTTTGAAATCGGGTCAGGTCCAAACCTGTGATTTCTGGGTCTGACCGAAGTCGGATCGTCGTGAGTTGCAAATATTGACACCCAATAAAAGTATAACTATTTCTCTTAAAAAGCTCATTCTGTCGTTTGAAGTTACAAATTAAAGAATAATAAATTTATAAATCAGTATATTATTTAAATTCTATCTAATAGATACGTAATATTAATTTAAAATCGTAACAAATCATCTGATTTTTTTTTGTTTTTTGTTTTCTTTAATTATAAAAAGGTGCTGTTTAATACCTATAATATGAGAGATCGCTATTAAATTTTTTTTTTTTAAAAGAGCGAAATCGGAGGATAGAATCCAGGTATCTAGAAAATCGGAATTTTGTAGTCGTTTCTTAAGAAAACCGGATTTACAAAAATACTCTTTTAAATTTTTATATTATATTAATTATTATTTTAGATTATCAATTATTTAAGATAAAACGTTAATATTTAATTAACTTTTAATTAATTAATATGTTTAAATTTTTTTATAAAAATTAAATTAAAAAAAAAAGATTATATCTTTTAAAATTTTTTTATAAATGTTTATAATCTTTTTTAAACTTTATATTATTTTTTCTTAATATTAATAATTAAAAATCTATAATATTAAATTCTGTTAAATAAAAAATTTTATATATTTAAAAATTTATATTAATATAAATAAACATTTTAATATTATATAATATAAATATAAACTTTTAATTCTAATAAACATGAAATCTCATTAAATTCATTTGAATGTCTTAATGATATCTGAATTCAGCGATCTGGGCTAGTTGGATTCGTTCGTCGAGCCGCCTCGATTCTACTTAAGCTGTCAGTTTGAAAACCATTGTTAGTCTAAATTATGGTTTGAACCTACCAATTGTGCATCGGGTCTTTGATTTGGACTCATTTGGGCTCGGATTGAGTCGAATTTGGTGTCGTTGAGTTGGTATTTTTTATACTTTCAGTTCAACTATAAATTTGTTGAAATCAGAGTTCAGATGATCTCCGATGTAATTTTATGATGACATATTTAATATAAACTTTTTAATACATTATATTAATAATTGACTTTCAACTTAGGGAAACTTTTTAAATATTTAATAAAAAATTAAATTCAATTTCAAAATATACTAATAATTTTAAATATTAAAAAGATTTAAATATTAAATATGTAAAAAACATCATAATTTTTACATAATACTGATTACTTTTTGTTCATTTAGATTATCTAATTAAATAATATAATAAAGAAAAACAATATAATCTACCGGAATTTATTCAATCGGTTTCTGATTTTATATTCCAGTGTCTTCTCAAATTTTAGTAAATTAGAAACTGGTTAATGAAGTTCTAATTTCTATTGAAACTGGATAATTAAGTTTCTTATTTGATTCTTTTTAAATTTATTCATTAATATGCTTCTTAAATTAATTTAAATTTAAATCATAGTCATAAAAATATATAAAAGTTTTACTATTAAAACTAACTTGCGACAGCTAAATATTACTCTTGTCGAATAAGAAAACCCCTCCTCAACAATCCCCTTTCTTAACTCCCTTTCCATCAATTTCACACCTTCCACTTTTTTTCCCCCATTTTTTTATTAGAGTTACCACGAGCTGAACTCTTACTGTTTTCACTTTTTACCTCTGAAAATGACTGCTAGCATGCGTTAACCCAAATGCCTACTACTACTACTACTCTCCTGGGGATCGCCATCACCATTAGGTCTGTGAAGCCATGTCCGATGGTATCAAGTCCGAACAAAAATGGAAAGAGGGATAGAGATAGATAGGAAGCAGGGGAGGAAAAAGCGAAGAGAGTGGTGAGTTTTGGGATTTGTAGTTCAAAGTTTGAACTATCTGCTTCCTTCTCAGCTGCCATGGCGACCTCATAGATCTATTTAATATTTATCCCTCATTCCTTCCGAGGCTCCACGAGTGGCCTACACCCTACTACTGCTTCCCCTCTCTACTCCTCCCTACTCGCCAGTCACAGCTCATCCCCACCAAGAAGTCGAACCAGTGGAGAAAAAGCTGCGAGATTTTAGGGGAGAATAAAAAAACCCTCAACCCCTTCCCCACAACCGAGCCTTCAGAATCAAAGCTCGCTTCTTTCTCTCTCTTTGTTTCTTTCTTCTTCCTCGATCGGCCAGCTGAGACAAGAGTCAATAGCCCGAGCCCCACGCACCACGTGTTCCACGAAACCCTAACCCCTTCTCCAATCTGTTTCCTGTTTTTACATTTTTACTTTTTATTTTTCAAAAATTGATGAATTTCTTACGAGGATTTCATAGAGCTGAGCTAAAATCACCAGAGCGGAGTTTCTAGAGAGGAAAAGGATCAAACTTGACGAGTTGCTGATTAGTAAAGCATGGAGCAAGTCGACCACCGACACAGCGGGGCCCACCCTCCGCCTCCTCCGGCGACATCGCCGCTACTCACCGGATCTGGCCACGTGGACTCATCCCTCGCCATTTCAACCACCAAGCAGAAGACGACGGTTGCGGTGGCGGCGGCGGCACCGGGAGCTGTTGCTCAACCGAAACGGTCATCGAAAGACCGGCACACCAAAGTTGACGGCCGAGGGAGGCGAATACGCATGCCGGCGGCCTGCGCCGCCCGTGTGTTCCAGCTCACCCGCGAGCTCGGTCACAAATCCGAAGGCGAAACAATCGAATGGCTTCTCCAACAAGCCGAACCGGCCATCATCGCTACCACCGGAACCGGAACCATTCCGGCCAATTTCTCCTCCCTCAACGTATCTATCCGCAGCAGCGGATCTTCTCTCTCAGCCCCGCCTTCCAAATCCGCCCCTCTTTTCGCACACCACTACGAAGTCGCCGACCCATCCTCCATGCTCGCCTTCCACCAGCCCGACGTCCCTCTCGTCGCCGAATCCACCGACCAATATTTTAGGAAACGATTCAGAGAAAACCTTTTCAAAGAAGAACAAGAAGGGCCCGGCGCCGGTGCCGGAGCGGCTGCGTCGTCGTCGCCTCCAAAACCGGGGTCGCGGCCGGTTGTCCCGGCTGCCATGTGGGCGGTGGCGCCAGGGAGTAGCACCGGAGGAGGGGCGTTCTGGATGCTTCCGGTCACGGCGGCCTCGGCTCCGATGGCACCAGAAGCGCCTTCTTCATTATGGACTTTTCCGACTGCAGCGGGGGCGAGTACGATGCAAGCGCCGTTACAGTTTGGACGCGCCATGGGTGGGATGCAGATGGGGTCTATGTTTCCGGCAGTTCAGCATCTAGGCTTAGGGATTGCGGATTCAAACCTCGGGATGATTGGCGCGATTAATGCTTATAATCGGAGTGGACGTGGCGGCGGCGGTGGTGCTGTGATGAGCTCCGATCATGATTCTGCGATGGCCAGGCGGCAAGGGTCGCAGAGTGGAGGAGGAGATGGGCATAGCAATTCTCAGTAGAGAGAGAAAGATAGACACAGAGCGAGCGAGCGAGCGAGTAGCGAGCGAGCGAGCGAGAGAGAGAGAGAACAAAAGCCAAAAGGTAATTCGGGGTGGGGAATTAGTTCCTCACTGCAACTGAACACCACCATTGCAAGCAAAAAAAAGAAAAAAAAATCTATATATGCTATATTTATATCAGATTGTATTGTGTTTGATTTTGAAATTTTTGTTTCTCTCTTCTTCTTCTTCTTCGCTGCGTTTGAACTGTGAGGTTTTTGAGTGCTGGAATTATTGAAGATTGCCCTCTCTTTCTCTCTCTCTCTCTCATGTTTTCTTTTGGCATTAATCACATCGTTCGTATTATATTTGATTACCGTAATGATAATGAAGAAGAACGGAGAGAGGTGATTTGTGGGTCCGAAATGGGCATCGAAGCGGAGAATGTGATGGGAGGATGATAATTTGTACATTTGACTGTCGAAGTTTAATTAGCAAGGATTCCTTGTTTCTTGTTTTATTATATAGACATTTTCTGAGCAAGAGAACCACAGTGTAATTATTTCCTCTTTCCTTCTTCTTTTGGCTTTTGCACTTTTTTTTTTTTCATTTTAATTTAATTGCCAAACGATAGGCAAAAAGTTAACGAGATTCTAATATATTTATGCAATTAGGAGTATTGTGAATTCAGTCCGCACAAAATGGTGGAAATAAAGAAGTTCAAAGTTTAAAATTTTATGCTAAGAGATAATGGTTACTGTTAATATATTACGAATTTAAATTTTTATTTATTTTTTATGGAAGAATATTCTTACTATCATACATATATAGAATAAATAAGGTTTGTAAGGCTTTGGTTGAAATAAATTTTTTATTACTTTTTAAAGTAGTAATTCAAGAAATTTATGTATTAAAAAGCTACTTTTAAAAGTAGTAGAAAAAATTTTAGAAATTAAGTCTAAGACTTCATTTGGGATAATTTTTTTGTTGCTTATTAAAGTTGTTTTTTAAAATAAATTTTTTTAATTTTTATACTAAAAATTGGTTGTTTTAAGAAGCAACAAAAATTCCGTCCCAAATAAAGCCTAAGACTTTGTTTGGGACAGCTTTCTTATTACTTCTTAAAATATTTTTTTGTTAAAAAATTAAAATTTTTATACTATAAAGCTACTTTAAGAAGTTGTAAAAAATGCCGTCACAAATGATGTCTAAAGCTTCAATTGAGATGACTTTTTTACTGCTTCTTAATTAAAACAATTTTTAAGTACAAAAAATTAAAGATTTTGTAATAGAAAGCTGCTTTAAGAAACAGCAAGAAAGTCGTCCCAAACAAAGTCTAAATTGAGATATTTAAAAAATTGATTAATATAAAAAGAATCTTATCAGATTTAAATCGGATCAATACATGTATATTCAAATTTTGTATAACCGATCATTGAAGAAAAGTTGATATGATGATGTTGCATCAATACCACAACTTGAAAACTATGGAGGAGCTTATCAAATATTGTGTTGTACGCACAAAATAATGGAGTAACATGAAGTTGCCCCTTTGAATAGTAAGAAAAAAGAATGTTCAATCCTTTAGAGTATTCTATAAGGTGATAACCACCTCTGGTGTCTTTTTGTTCACAAGCAAAGCCAATGAGGTCTCTTTCCAGTGCCAAAGAATTTTTATTGTTTATCTAATTTTGATCAACTAGGCGTGATGATGTTGACAAAGATAGGAAAGAAATAGTAAGAGAGGAACAAGTGTTGGCAAGATTTACTTCTTGGGAGTCAAGTTATAATAGGTTGTCACTATTTGTTGCTCTAGAGCCCACTTTGCAAGTGGCTTGATGATATATATCTCACCCAAATAGCATCGCTTAACCGGTGACATTAATGATTAGCTTTTTTTTGTATTGTCAGCTGTTTTCATTGGCTTTAAGAGGTTGGGGGCATTGGTCTCAAAAGAATTTGCTTCAGAAGGCCATACACAAATAGCTTCATCAATTGTACTATAAGCAACTAATAGTCTTTGGGCCCGTGAGTACTCACGTTAAGATGTGGTAAAGTCAAATAGCTTCATCAATTGTACTATAAGAAACTAATAGTGTTTGGGCCCGTGAGTACTCACGTTAAGATGTGATAAAGTTTGAAGCATGCTAGATTTTTAGATGGGTGATGGAGAGGATTTGGCCTTTTTTGCTTATATTGCTACATATATCTCTTTAATTTCATGTTCAAGGTTAGGAGGTTGATTTTTTGGGCATCAAGAGTGGTGAAAAGGCAAGTTCTTCCAATATGTGAGCCATTTTGATAAATGATTGATTTTAGTTGCCTCTAAAAGCTTCTACTTATAATGGCAAATTATCATGGCCATTTTTATGCCAATCATGCCTCTTCTTGTGACTTGTTTGTTTTTGTCTTGTTATAACCATAAAAGAGGTGATGCTTATTGAAGTGCAAGTCATCAATCTATTCTTGTCGATGAACATGGATGCTCTTATCAACAGATTATAGTTATTGTGGTCAGAGGATTCTTCATGATGGAGTATTTAAATGGTGATTCATGGAGACACATAGTCATCCCCAACTACAAGATTTACATCTAAAGTACTATTTTTTTTTTGGTAGCTCGAGTAAATTGGGCAAGATAGTATTTATCTACTACCAAAGATTAAATAATATATGGATGAATCTCTTTGTTTTCTTTGTAGCTAGCGACAAATTTTGTAATGAATTGTGGGCATAACTAATAAAAATTGGAGATATTGTTGGGTAAAAGGTGGGTAATCCACCTATGTGCTATATTGTTTGGCATTATAGTGAAGCCTCAAGAATGAAACTACTTGATGGTTGAAATAATTATCATCACATTATTGAAGCTACTGAGATGTTATATATGATCACTCGATGTTAGTACCTTGCCATTTGCCATCAAGGTTTCCTTGAGGGTCTTTATTGGAAATGGGGAGGAGCCGATCTTGTTAATAGCGAATAGATGGTACGTAGTACAAAGGCTCCTTTAATGAGCACTTTTCTAACCAATATAAAATAAAAGAGGTTGGATGATGATAGTGAATTATTAGTCATCAAGGAGACAATGATGTTGTTATTGAGAAATACATTTAAAGGCGTATTTGATGGGGGTAGCGATTTTAATTGCAATTGGAAAGTGAGATGTTAGAGCTTTGACTGACGAAAAATGAAAACATTATTAAAAGATCAAAAAAATATGACATTATGCTAAAAGTTTTCATTGTTTATGAAGCACTTTTATCATCATTTTTTGTAGCAGGTGTTAAGAACAATATAAGACTGAAGGTGATCAATCACCATGAGCCAAATATTCCTCCATCGAGCTATACTGCTTACCACTGTGTTTATTTTTTTATGTCTATGCGTGGTAGCTATTCTCTATTCTCCTTAACCATCAGTAACTAATAGGACATAAATTAAAGGACAATCTCCTTCCATGCTTTCTTTAGGATGATTTTTTCTTTTTTTTAAATTCAACGTCTTTTTGTGGCTAATTTGACAGCCTTTCTCTTGAATTTGACATGTCTAAATTAGGCACAAAAGACGTGAATTTAAAAAAAAAAATCATCCTAAAGAAGCAATGGAGGAGATATTGTCTTAATTTATTGTTCCTATTTTAGTGAGTGAGTGAGTAAGAGAATGAGAATGATGTACACGGCTTCCCAGTTAGTTTACTCTAATGAAGGTAAGAAGCTAAAGAGGAGAGGAGATTTTAATGATTTGAATGTATTAATTAACATTTGTTTAGAGGTCAGAGCCCTAAAAGAGAGAAGTTTTCTATTCTTAAGGGAAGAAAAAAAATACAATTCTTCAAGTTATGCTTTAGCTCTCTAAGTTAGATAATTTTATCATTTTAGTGACAAACGCCAAAGTTTCAAAAGCCCCGTCTGGGTAAGAAAAGGTTTTTTTTTTGGTTGGGGGGGGGGGGGGGGCGGGGGAGGGGTGTTGTGTTTGTGGAAGGGCAGGTATTCATAGTTGAAGTTCTGTCTTGAGTTAATGTTTATGTGATGAATGATGTGTAAGAGATGCATGGGACCAATTATAATTTTGATAAATGAATTTATCTATGTGTTAGGGTTTAATAATTAGGTTCTTGGTGATAGTCATTGAATGACCTAATAACTTGCTAGTCATTGATCCAAGTGACATGAAAATACTATGGAGAGCCATTATGGCTTGATATGTGGCTTTTTTGGAATGCCATTTTCTCCATATGAGAAGAAGGTAAGTAACATCACTAAAGTAGCTAGACTAAGTGATTATAGCTGCAAACATGTTAGATTTGAAATGAGGAATATTTTTAAGTTTGAGGAGAGTACCAAGTTGGGGTAAAAGGATGATTTTGAAAGATGAAAACAATGATTTGGACAATGGGAAGGATTGGATGAAGATCCTCAGGTTAGTTGGATAGTCTACTCTTGATCCACCCCAGTTAAGAATCTTTAATTGCTCAATTTTTGTAGGATTGGATAGTCTTGATTTAATGTATTAATAGCTTCCAATGGACTTTAGCATGCTAGTTTTAACACTAAATATCAAGTGGAAGGCCTGTAAACCACCTTTGTAGTATTGTTTATCTTACAGTTATTATATAAAATAGAAGAAATTATATTATAATCAATAAGAAATATTTTATAGTAAAAGAAATGCTATCTTTAACTAACTTTAACCCAACTTGTCTTCATTTAAAATTTTTTGTTAAATTTATTTTGCTTGATTTAACATTAATATACACATTTTTTAAAAGAATAAAGCTACTTTTTCCGACTCTTATCCTACATAAAAAAACAAATATGCTAGCGACATGTTACAGCTATTAATTTATTATTTAAGATTATATTTTCATTTTAAGAGTCAAATTTTTTTGTTAATATCTCATTAGCATTCTAATGAAGTTTGGCATATAAATTTTAAAAAAGTCACCAACACATTAAAATTTTTATTTTATAAGAACTATGAAATGAGTTCATTATTTGAGTCCATTGTTGTCAGATGATCAAATAGCTATCAAAGACTCTTACACTGATGCATGGAATAGAGTGTTGAATTAGGCGAAGATGGAGATTTATTAGAGCATTCAGAAGTTTGTAGAATAATGGAATGATAATTTGTTCTTCATATTCTTAAAATTGGCTTTCATTGTTTGCTTGACTTTATTTAGTTGTAAATAGATTTTTTTTAAAAAACAACTTTAATAGGCTTTTTTATTCTCCCATTGGCCCACCTTCCTTAATAGGCTAATCCTAATTTGGTGCTTTAGGTTTTGTTTGGGATAGCTTTTTTACTGCTTTCTAAAGTAGATTTCTAGCACAAAAATTTCTAGAAATCTTCTTTAAAAAGCAGTAAGAAAGCTGCCCTAAATGATGCCTTAGTATGTGAGATCATAAGCGGCTTATTACAAATAGGTTAAAGAAAAATATACTAGTAATCATCTACAAAATTATATATATATATATAACTTACATAAAGAACATCCACCACTCATGGCTCTAGTCTTCCTTTTGAACTTCCTTCTTGCAAATCTCCACTCATAAGCCTTGTTG